GACGCTTTAGACGCTTCATTCAAATCGTTAATAGTAGGGCTGCCACCATTACTGAAATACTGGCCTACCAATATGAATGAGTAATCAAATGTTATTTGGTGTTGTAACATTCAGTAAAATCATGTTTATATTTATATATATTTAAATCTTTATGTTCGAATTGTTTAAGTATAAAGCGAGCAGGCGGTTCACCCGATGTTAAGTGATTACCGCCGCCCATATACATCTAAAACACTGCGAATTGCAGATGCGTTGACAAGCTATCAAAAAGCGGCAACTGCTACCACACTCGGCAGACAAAACTGCAAGAATAATAATTCCACTTCATGCCGGTCTTCTGTGAGATTGTAGTTCCCATATGTCATACCCATTCTTTCACGAATGATGAAAAAAAGCCGTTACTTCACCCTACCACAGTAACAGTTTTATACATATACATATGTATATAACATAAACACATTTTCATTTTGATGACTCCGTGGAGCAGTTGGCAATGTTTTGCCTTCGGCACCGGGTGTAGTGGGTTCGATTCCCACTCGAGAGAACTATTTGTGTGACCCACAGGTAATTGTGTCGAATCTGGGTGTTTGTCCACGTGAAATTTATGTATGTAAAACATCCTTACAACACAGGATTATGTTATCCTAAAGTAAGGGCAGTTTTAAAAAAGAAGAACAAAACATTTGTCTTTCGCTTAATATTTTCGGCCAGCCGTAAATTAGGCAATTTAAGAAAAACTTAAAAGTTCTGAAAAGTAAGCATTTTGTTCTTCGCGTGAGATTTTTGACAAAAGTCTGATGTAGCATCCATAGGTTGATGGTTGGCGAACTTCCAAACAGACGGTCTTGCGAGTTGCAGGGGAACAAAGAACAGGTCGAAACGTTTTAATATTCGATTCGTTATCCGTTAGCGCATTAAAACTATTTTTGTTTCTTGTTAAGACCGAAATAAGTGCGTGCGCGACTTCGCTTTGTCCAGACTCTTTGTTGGTAACGCGGATGTGTCACGGCCGTGCTTGTTAATGAGGTCGAATTAATACAATAAGGAATTCTTAATTAAACATTACACTTCGCTAATGCATAGATAAACGTTGACCTCATTTCTCTCACTAGAACAACCAAAAATATAATAAATATTCAAAATAAATATAGTTAGTGTCCATGATATATATTTTTGAATGTTGTATTTATTAACTAAAAAGTAATCTTTAATTTAATCCATATCACAGGACATAAATGTATTAACAACTCGTAACATCCTTTGTTTTATAGGTACATTGTAGCAATGTAAAGTTGAATTGGATTTATCAATCTGATTCTTTGTAGGCCAACACAAAGGATATAACAATATTATGAGTGTGAGTAAATATACTCAAACTGTGTATAAACGCGTGTAGACAGATAATGAATAGGTATGTAAACATTAATTAAATGGCTCGTTACTTCATAGGAGCTATTGAGTCGAGGCTAATTACGATGTGTCAGTGCTCTGAGTAGTATGTTTTGTAATTACAGTTTAAAGCGAAACTATTTACAGTACTTTGTCTTAATTCTATCCATGTATTTCAGATATGTTCTTGGTAATTCGTTATAAATGCTAGAGGGAATAAGAAAATAAAATATAATATTAGTTAATTAACATAAAATTTATTGTCTTTAAACTAATGATTTTCACATAAACAGTGATGTGCTAAAACACGTGCGTAACCAATTACCATAACGTACTAAAATTGAAAATCTATATGAGAATGCTGATCATAGATTACGTGTATTTCTAAATCTTATTTCGTTGCTTTAATCCATAACGGTGTAGTTTCTGGAATATACTTCTTGGCGAACCGTCTCGGCACACCGTCGCCACATTTACGATTTTGTGTCAAGGCCCGACGATCGTACTGGTGAATTTTCATCCCTTAGGATTGCAATAAAGAGGGACTGGTACTTTTGAGGGACCTATTTTACAACCCGTGTTACGTAGAAATATTTATACTATTTATTATTATATATATATATATACCACAGTTAAAAAGTTAAGGCCCGGTTTCTGAAACACTGATTATCCTAGAAGTCTTCATTCTGATCTCAGAGTTTAACAATCCTTTTGGAAACTAAAATGACATTTGAAAAGCCATTTGACATCTGATTAGTTGACTTCGAAAATGATATATGTTTCAGAAACCGGGCGTAAATCTACTTGAATTTACGTTTTAATTTATGATTAAATGCTCCATTACGCGCCATTTTTATGGCTATTAAGTATCCACTAGAAGAAGAAATATCTCACTAACATCGCAGCGTTGAAGAAATTATCGCAATGGTCGAATTAATAGCACAATTAAACTATAAATAAACATGAGATTCCGATTAGCAACGACCCGATCGACATCGATATTAATAAGTCGTAACATCGATTCGTTTATCGGTACGCCCGACCACGTGTAGTTGGCGGACAGCTGTTCCTGATGCGAATGGGCGATAAAAAACGCGTCAACACACGCTGGACCGGAGCCAGCTAGTTTCAACAGTACCGTCCGAAGCTTACAGTCCTAATGACCGAGACCCACTCCCAGCCAATGATGTTGCAGCCTCGTCAGTAGAGTCCACGTGGTACGGCCACGCCAGTCCTCGCTGTTGCACGAATGGGCAGCTCCGTCCGGGTAAATACCACGACTTCACTGAAGACCGGCATGCAGTGGAAGTGTTATACTTCTGCGTTTCGTCTTGTGATTGAGGTAGCCGGGGCCCACTTTATTAAGAGGTGGCATCGCATCTGCAACACTATGGGTGTTACAAATGTCAATGGGCGGCGGCTATCATTTAACAAGGTGAATCACCAGCTCGGATGCCGGATACCTTCTCACATAAAAAAACAACATTTTCGAGAACATTCATAAGAGAATTTAGATTTTAAGTTAGAAGTCGTCAGTAAATCGCCAATTTCACAAGTTAACTTTTACTATATTGCAGTATCTAGCGTAGAGGGCAAATTCCTAACCCATTTTAGCAAGCTGACGGGGATTCAATGTTCAATTTTCAAAATTAATCATAATGACAGATTCACTAAACTTAGTTCATTGACGTATCAAGAGGGGCCTTAGTCTTTGAGGCGTGCTATAGCAGCCGAGGAAGAACGACGATATCACAGAAGACTGACGTGAAGTGTATATAACACTTTTGCCTTTGTTCTGATGGGTGAGGTAACCGCGGCGCACTCTCTTAAAAATCGGCAATACAGGTGTTGTAGATGTCCACGAACTTTACATCATGTGAACGACCAACACGCAGTTCTATTTTTATGTGTGAATATTTTACACATTTTCACACAAAAATAAAACTTCGGAGATAAACAAATTTTATGCATATAAGGGGCTTTTCAACATTTCTAAGTCCATAAAAATTAAAACAGAGATTCGTCCTACCCGTTAATTTCTTAAGTAGTGTCACTCTATTACAAACGTAAAAGACAAACTGAAAAAATATATAACTCTGTTTTAATGAGTATATATTTAATTTACGAGAAAGGTAGGTTTGTGATTTTTTTTATTTTTTATCGTTCTCAAAATCAACTATATAAATCTAAAACAATCCAAATATACTAAAACAATTCCATTTTATATTTATTTATTAAGATATTAGAATGTTGACCTCCAGACATTTAAACAAACATGATATCTAACAGTTATCAGTTTAAAATAAACTTTTTTATGTGAGTAGCTGACAAGCGGGCTTGCCGTTCACCTGACATTAAGTGATAGCCGCCACCCATTTGCTTCACCCGTAATGTTGAAGATTGCCATCTTTTAATAAATGGTGTCCCGGCTACCACAGTCACCAGACGAAGCGCGGAAGTGTTACACTTCTACTTCACCTCTTCGTTTCTGTGAGGTACTGGTACTTCTCCGGACGAACCTGCCCATTTGCACGAACAGGGAATCCGGTTGCGTGGCCCTACCACTGTTAAACGTGAAAGACATATACACTAAAGACAAAATGGCCCTAAGCATACTAACAAAAACACACTAGTCTTCAACGACAGTGTAAATTGTTCACAATGTGATACTTCGAAAATTCACTTCGAAGCGAATTAGATCCAAAACATTGTACGTTAAACACGGTAGCAATACGAGCAATTCATAGACGGACCTCGAAAAACACTCGATCCAAATAACAAATATCTACTCGAAGTAATTGATAGTACTTATTCCTATTAAAATTTCATCATTATCAGGGTTCTAAACCTTCAACTCCGATTTAAGGTCGAGGTCTTTCGTTTACAGCCGAAGTTCCAACCATCAATTAAGGAAGATTCGTGTACGGAATATAAATTTTTTATAACAAGGAAAATGTTTGTCTTGGCTGAACTGCGTAATAACGTACATATATTGTTTACCATGTACATACACGTACCGAGTACCAATAAGTGGTTTAATTCAGGACATGCCACTTCTTGATAAATAATAAAATGAATGCAATAGGTTTCGCCATCCGAAGGTTATGTAGAACCAAAATTCTCCGATAGGAGGTTCAATAATCAAGAATTTTGAGATTTTTTACTTTTACTTAACAAGTTTTTGGATTCTTATATATTTATCGTGTTCGGATAAGTCTGCTTTTCCAATAGGAAAATTGACGGAACAAATTTGGCCGACGGCCTTGAAGTTTCTAACAATTCCTTAAGAGTTGTCTCCCAGCAAGGGAACGGGGATCTTTGTATTGATTTCCTAAATAAATATTCAAAAATAAATCCATATGAACTTTTACTTTATTGCTTAGAAAATGAATATTAACAAACGGACAGACATACGAACTATAATGATCAAAAAATTGACGAAAATTCTTTCTTCGATATGGGAATCGAACCCGTCTTCTGGATTCGCGTAAACAATGATAATAACTCAATAAGGGCCCCCCGGTTTACCGACTGAATTGCGGAAACTTAAAACACGCAAGTTTGAATAAAATAAAGCTAGGTAACAAGGAGCATCGTCCACACCAACTTACCCCCTATTACTCCGTACGTGATCATCATCATAGTAACACTCTTGCTGAGGGTGGACAGGGCGAAAGCGGCTGTCGCCACCAGTGAGCCGGCGACGCATACCGCCCGACAACCGTATTTGTTGCATAGCGCTGACACCACCGGCCCTGAGAAAATAAATGGTGATGTAATAATTTAAACGATCGTAGTTGAGAGGGATCAACACTGAAAATGTTTCTTAACACCGACAGATGAATAAGAACAGGCTTTAGGATAAGAAAGAAATTGACAAGAACTAAAACAACCATAATCGCCCCTTTACAACAATGTAACAAATTGTAACAATGTAAACAACAAAAGGATCTCTCTTTTCTGATATTTCTGAAAGTCGTATTTTGAATTAATGGTTCAGGTGTTGTAATAGAAAGAGATCGAAACAATCCGATAGTCTTCCAGTAACATGTGTTTTGCATGTAAATATTTGTATGATATAAATGCACACAATATGTGTAGAAAATGTACATATTTGCGATACAGAAACGTTTACCTTGTATATAAAAGAATTGGGCAAGATCTTTAAAATATTTTGATGTTATCATCTTTTATGAAATAAATAACAGATGAGTGAAACATTTACGATAAGATAAGATAAAATGTCGAATTTATGTTTTACAAAAAAAGATATGTTTAAATGTGTTTCCCAACTTTAGTCCATCCGTTGTGAAGTTCAATATATTATCTCGATGACGTGATGGTGCATGCTGTGCTGAAGGTAATCTGTGCTATAAAAGGAAACTCATATCTTTCTTAACCGTTTTGAGCGAAGTTGTGTAAAGCTTTTCGGATCTCACTTTACTTTGTCGCTTACCCAAACCTGAACAATTCGTAACTAGATTATATTGATGTAAAACGTAAAGTAACAGCCTATACATGTCCCACTGCTGGGCAAAGGCCTCCTCTATACAGAGGGTATCAGGGCATAGTCCACCACGCGGCCCCACTGCGGATTGGTGGACTTTACATATCTTCCGAAATATATATATTTTTTTGTTATTATTTCGAAAATATGCAGGTTTCCTCACGATGTTTTCCTTCACCGCGGAGCACGTGATAAGTCAGCACTTAAAGTTAAAAATTTCATTGGTGCCGGCACCGGGAATCGAAATCAGGTTGCTCGAGTATATTGAATTAAAGGCGAGCGCCCGGACACTGAGCTATCACGGCTCTGATGTAGCATTGCAAAACACTTTGTTACGGCAGCTTTGCTTATCGAAGATTGAGTGCTACGACATAAATTGTTTTTTTTTTTCTTCTGTGATAAGGTGGCAAGCGAGCTGGCGGTTCACCAGTTGTTAAGGTAACTGCCGAAATTTACAACACCCGTAGGGTTGCAGATTCACTGCCACCTTTTAAAGTGGGCCCCAGCTACCTCACTCACCAGGAGAAACGCAGTAGTGTAACAACACAGCTAAAACTTCATTTTTAAACTTTTCATTGGAAACCTCTGAAATTGTAGCCAACAAAACTATCATTATTATAAAAAAAACATGGTACAATTTCATTATACTCATTAGTTTAACTCCTCTTCTACCATCAAATACATACGTGACTGTCTTATGATGCAGAAAGCACATAATTAACAGTAATTAGTAGCAAGCTGTGCTAAACGCATTTCGTCGAATTTGTTAACGAGAAATCGTCATTAGCGATGAGCGCGTACCGTGAAATCGTACCTAGACGTTAAACATTAATTCAAAAGGAATTGTACGAGTATATAAATTTATTCAAAAAGTTCAAACACCTTGTGCCAAATCCATAACGGTAACTTGATTACAAAATTTAGTTGTCGTCTATGATTATAGTACTTGCAAACGAGTTCAAGGGATAAATTGAATCTATAAGGCGTTTTCCTCATACTTATTAAACACATATTTATAAATATACTCCTCCGTTACTAAAACTAAACACGACGAGCAGGTGTAAATCTATAGAAACATTCCTAGTCTCAGAATACTATCCTCGGATTGTTTGACTGACCTTATAGGTTTAAAAACAAAGCGTTTGCCTCTGGTACCCTATTGTGCTGTGTATTCTTGAATTATTGATTTTGATTTGATGGTGGCAAACAAGCAGTCGGTTTTCCTTATAATGGTTGATCAAGGGCAATAATGGACATCCACAGGATCCATGGTGTTGCGCCTATTTCATTAGACGAAATGCAGCAGCATAATTACTTCTACTTCACGCCAGACTTGTGTTAGGCTGTTTTGTGTGAGAAGTTAGCAAACGAGATGGCCTTTCTACTGATGTTAAGTGATAACCGCCACACACGGAAATTTGCAACACCCGAAGGAACGGTTTCAGATTTAATAAAGTGAGCCACGGTGACCTCACTCGCGAGACAAAACGCAGTAGTGTAACACTTCCACTTAACGCCGGTCTTCTGTTTTGTTTGTTGCGTGGCCCTACCAAATCTAATATATATATATTTCCCTGGACTGGGCCGGGTAGGTATGGGCCGACTGGGCCCATACCTGCAACAGCAGAAGCTGCTTCCTGAAGACAGGATGATGGAAGACGCGTTGATGTATACATATGTCCACAAAAGCAGAGTAATTAAACACAATGAACGCACTGGAATGTGCATGCGGGGAGAAATTGCTAGAAACGTCGATAAAATAGGCGGACCTCAGTGACCTGTTGCAAATTAGGTTGACACCGAACGATAACGATCCAATAGCCTACCAACTGGTCTTTGTTTCATTATGCCTTTGTTATAGTTGCTATGTCGGGACAATATTATTCCAAGATAAATCAGAGAATAGCTGATCGTTTGCGTCTAGCTCTTCTATTTGAATACGTTAAATATGATATTAGCAAAAAATTAAACCGTGCCCTATGATACACTTCTATAAAACATCAGAACCGTAATGTTCACTGTCATACAAAAGTATTTTTATACATATACAACGTTGTTTATTTGCCCACAAAGCGTTCCTATACCATGCATACTATTTTGATAAAAATTTGGTTACTTGTACTCCATACGGTTAAAGAAAAATAAAAACATAAAAGGAAAAATGGTTTTTCTTTTGTCCTCCACGCAAACACTAAAAAACTAACTATAGTTTTCACAATAAACACATTTTTTCTTTACGTAACTTTGCAATGTACGCCAGTTAATGCTAGTCCTATAAATAAACATGAATGTTTGTTCGCATTCCCATAAGGTAAGCAACGTATAAATAATCTTTTAGGAATCCGAAAGGAACTACATGTGTATATTTTTTTTAAATACAGCATTTGAAAACCAATTGCGTCGTTTTCCTCTACCCCAATGCTACGATGTGTTCCGAACATCAACAATACATTCAATTACCATGTTTCTTTAAGATGAGAAACGAAAACTCCAACTTAGTCAATGCGTTCAGCAATAAAAACCAATTAACCTCACTCGGGAGTATCAGCCAGTCAAATAGCAGCCATTCCATCAAACAGAAGTGTATCAATTTAAAACTGCAAAAAGATACTAGCCCTTGTTAAAATTGGAAAAACCTAACAGTAGTTAGTCGATATCTGTCAAAGCGTCAGAAACAGAATGTACTCGAAGTTTTATCTGTGCGCTTTTATCTAATATTACGCCATTTTGTCGAAGTATTTTTCAAGTACATAAGATTGTACGTAAGATAATTATAATCAGCGAAATAGGTCTACATGTGATAGCAAACGATTGTCATTTCCAATAGGGTCAATTGCGTTTCAATTTAGATAAAAATTTAAGTAACGAGCTTATCCCATTTGTAGTTTCGGTAGTAGATAGAGTATGGTGCCTAATAAGATTTTAAATCAACCGCGCGCGATTGGGTTGTAATTACTGCTGCATTATTGACATTAATGTATCGAGTACGGTGCTAAAGTGATTTTGAAGTGTGCCTTGGCCAAGTTGATACTGGTTATAAAGTAAATGCGAATTAATGTTAAGGCTTGGTAATGTTTATATGGCGGCTGTTGCTCGGCGGGAAATATTGCTATGTAGCATTTTATTATTTGTAGTATTTTATTGGCCACAGACATTTGACGGAGTGGCGACCTGTGCAAATGTGGAGGAACTCGATGAATGCAGGTGGCTCAAGGTCTGTGAGGGAGGCCTATTATCAGCAGTGGATAAAAACAGGGTGTTAAAATGGCAAAAAAGGAATACTTTGCTTGTTCGAAAGAAAAGATTGAAGGATTGCCAAAAACAATTAATGATGCGAAATTCAGATAAGACGTAAAGGATCGTATACATATAGACCCGACTGAAATGCATGTATGCCTAGATGAATGGATGTGTTGCAGAGATGAGCGGGAAGCACGAGAAGTGAAAATCCCTACTTAACTTACGTAATTTCTGCCTACCCCTATGGATAAGCGGCGTGTCCGTGAATGTACTTTGACGATCAGAGTAACCAACAGAAAGAGACACTGTTCGTATTCGTTTATACGACAGTGGTGCTAAATGACAGTTCACAAGTTCTCAGTTCTTTACCTTACCTTGACTGTGACCTTGACGTTGTGTGTTTTACGTATCAATATATAATATATATAACAAATTTTTGAGAAGTTTTCTGGACATACGCATACACAAATTACTTTAACTTCACGAACTAATTGACAAAACGTTAAATGAGGAACTATTTATCACTTATTCCAGTGCTTACAAGGTTCGGGAATATTCTTTCACCGTTCTTCTCAATTGAGGTGTCCATGTGTTGAGAAAAGTGACCAAGCGCATGCTATGCTCACCGAAGCCTTTTAATTTTTGTTATTCTTAGTCTATGATTACAGTGAATATTAAAGAAAAACAGTGTGTTTTTGTTTAAAAATTGAAAGAAATCAGGGGAATTCATTTGATATAAAGTGACTACCGCCGCTCAGAGATCTATAACACCTGAAGTGTTGCAGATGCGTTGTCCAAACCTTCAAGAACAGTGGGCTTCGGTAACCTCACACAGTAGACGGAACGTAACAGTATGATACTTGTACTACACGTCGTTTTACTGTGAGGCAGTGAACGCACTATAGTAGATGTAGGTATTTTAGAATGTTTCAAAGAGTTAACCTGGTTGGCATTTTTATTTTAATAATAGATCCATTCCGAAACATTTGAAACAGAAGCGGATTCAGCATTATACCACAAATAAATAAGAAAGATATACTAACTACTCTTAGCTTATCTGCGGCTTTTCGGCATAAAGAGCAGTGATGCGGAGTAAAGAAGGCTTAAAATGTTTACTGTTAACACAAGTGGGGTAGGGGCTTAAGTTGAATCCGTTGGAAAGTGGAATGCAAATAACGAACCAAAGGAAACGGTGGCACGGTAACATTTGTAACGTGGAGCTTACAGCATGCCATATAAACTGGGAAAAGTTATTCTACTTACGTGGCATTTTTTTTAAACCATAATTTCTTTATTTATTTAAGCTCTTATTAAACGTCAAAAAATTACCACCGGTTCACTAAACTAGACCTGATCAGAGAAGAAGGCAAGAAACTCTGTGGTCTTGTTATCTCATTTTCTTTTTTTTTATGTATATAGTATATACAAACTTATTTAAGTATAAAATCAGCAGCAGCCAGCGGACTTGTCAATGCAGAGCAAGAGTCATTTTCACAAATCCTTCACCTCAATGTGTTCTTCGACTTTATGATAGTCCCTGGCCATTAGTTGTTTGTAGATGTCACCTATTTTATTATAAAAGTTAATAGATCTACCATGAAAAGTTTCTGGTTTTAGCCAGTCTAAATCTCGGTACTTCTAGAGTGTCACTACGGCCCCGACGCGAAGTGATATGTTTTTTGTAAAAAGGTGGATGTTATTACGTACTTACATGTTGTTCTCGAGTATGTATAGCGACGGGGGTGTTAAAACGTTTTTTTATTTGCTTAAAAAGATGCCTTAGTGACTCACGTGGACCCAAGCCATAGACAGCACGTATAGCCTGCTTTTGCAATACAAACATTATGTTGCAAAAGTAGGCTATACGGCATTTCATTTCAAGCAATATTTGTCGCATATATTGCTATATCCTTTACAGCATACAAAAATTTTCAAATATCGTATTACAACGAAAAATCGAACGAGCCATTGCTATATTCTTTTATCGGCGTATCTATTGTTGGCAAGTAAACTAAACTCTCTATTAGATAATATCATCATCTACAGATAAGGTATAAAAAAAATTATCCACTATAACAAAAATCAAGGGGCGCCTTCTGCACCAAGTATAAAGAGAAAGGCCTTGCTTTTTAGTTCTTTCATGCGATGTTGTTTTAATAGTAATCTTTTTGAGGACGCTGAATTTAAAACTTACGCTCTATGAAGCCTTGTTTCCTTTGAAAAAAAAATGAATTGAACGTAACGTACAAGAATAATCAAGGTGCATGGTTAAAAACGTCTATTTTTAATAAATATAACTCAAATCGTTAGTTCTATTAGTAGTTTAACGGCTATGACTATATGTATGAAGTTTAAAAGGAAACTTAAAATATGATCCGTAGGTTCGCGTTTAATTGGATTTTCAAATTCCCGACGCTTCGAATCCTTTCCAGCGTTCAAAGTCAAGGGGCAGTTTGAGTTGAGGAGACTGAATTATTACACGTCTTGATGTCATAGTTATTCCGGGCTGCCGTCAATTATTTTGTCATTTATTTTTTATTTTTATACGCATCTACGCGGAATAAAAAATACTTACTTTTGATGATGTGGTAGAGCAGTTACGTCGAGGCTATATAAAGCCATTCAAATATTTGTTTTTACTTTATCACACGTTGTATTGATGTATAAATTATTAATCTACAAATTATTTAATAGTATGTGAATGGCACTGGTATCATAAATGCAACAGTCTTTAAGCGTAAGTTTCTTTTTTTTCTATTTCATTTAAGAGTACTGGCGATGTATATAGATTTTAATATAATTTGGAATGGGCATTCGCTGAGTGGTATTCCTAACCTAATACTCACCAGCGGCAAGATAGACCCCCGACAGCAGGCTGCCGACCCACGCGACCGTGCCCTTGCCCTCGCCGAAGTACGTCACCAGCTCTGGCAGGAATATGCCGAAGGTGTACGCGATCCCGTCCACGACCAGGTTGCACATGAACGACGCGAACACGACCACCCATCCGTAGCCGCCGTCCGGTGGGGGCGGTAATTCCCCGTAATCGTAGGCCTCGTCGTCGTCATCTCCAGCGCCCTCCGCTGTCAGCCGCGCCGCCTCCTCGCACGAAGTCTCGCTTTCCGTCTGCGCAAGAAGAAACGCGATTGAAGAATGAACGGATAAGAAACTGCATTAAATTTAATTTAACTGTCGTAGGGCCACGCAGCAGCCTCGGCTGTTGGACGAATGTGCAGGCTCGTCCGGGTAAGTACCACGACCTCACAGAAGACCAGCGTAAAGTGGAAGTATAATACTTTCGCGTTTCGTCTGGTGAGTGAGGTAGCCGGAGCCCGATTTTTCAAAAGGTTGTCAACGCATCTGCAACCCTCGGGTGTAGCACATGTCTATGGGCGGCGGTATTCACTTAACATCAGGTGAACCACCTGCTCGCTTGACAATTTTTCGCATAAAAAAAATTCTTATATACGATTTATAGCGACTGCCGCTGGCTGTATCGCGCGGGCAGCGCCAGTAATTAAATAAAATCTGTTGATACGATTGCTGAAAAACTTCACTGGTTCGCCCGCTGGGTTAATCTGAAGGTTGCCCGAAATCTTCACAACAATCGGTCCAGACGTCAAAACACATAGACATACGCACTCCAACTTGCATTTATATAGATTTAAATGTTTTTCATCTGTTCACTTATGCTTAGTAACAAAATAAATTTTAGAATGTGCATTACTTATGTTAGGATATATAACTGCTGAAATGGTTGTACTGCGAGAGCAACGTTACTATAGGTTCTCTGACATGGATAGGTCGGCTTGCCTGAGGAATTAGCGCTGTCCAACAGCGGACCAACGCTATTACCTATAGGCTCCTTAAATCTAAACCGCGTCGATATGCACGGGAATTATGGGTGATCATTGGGTACGATAAGGTGAATCACCTGCTCTTTCACCAACTTCCACCATAAATATGGGTAGAAAAACTTCTTTAAACCTAGTTCTGATCTGGTAAAGTGGGTTAGGAACAATCTGAATTATTAACATAACGTGTGAAGACCGCAAAATGCCAAATAGGAATAAGAGATCAACATGCTGAACACTCACTGCAGTTGCATATACAATCGTTTTTGGGTTTTTACGACTTAAGCGGCATTAATTTGTGTTGCACATATGGTCTTGACACCATTTTTATAAGTATCAGTAACAAATAAAGGCGCTTTAACAATTATTTACTATGACCCATTCTTCTTCTTCTTCTTACTTCTTCCCACACTGCTGAGGATCGTGACTCTTAATTGGTCAACGAGCTGTCTCCATCGGTTTCGCTCAGTCGCCCGGTGAACTGCACTTATGGGGATTTCCAGGTGTTTTGAAATTTGTTTGAATATAACTCATTAAGTTATGACATAAAAATACCCAGATCATGAGGAAGTAAACAAAGAATACATTATAACCGCGTTACTTTGAAATTGCTACATAGAAATAACCTCAGCATTTAAAAAAAATGTTTTTCGATAAATACTCATACCTATACCTGTAGTATTGCAACATGTATTTCTCGGTACCATCCTAAGGTTGACTTGTAGAAAACGCTGTTAGTATTAATTGCGCCTATGAAAATTTTTGTGCATGAAGTTTTAAAATAAAATAAATAAATGCCAAATTAAGGAAGAAAATTTACCTAAATACTTAAAAATGAGAAAAATTTTATGTATCTTCTAATCAGATAAATAAAACTTTTTATAAACAGACTTCAAATATCTCGCTCACTATACCTTCCCTGATGTTTCTCCGAAGGTCAAGGTTCGAAACCAATGAAATTAAACTACACGAGAGCTATACCGAAACCATTGCAAAAATAATTTTTAAAATCGTTCCATTAAAAAAAAGAGTAACAAATATAAAAAATACAACCGAATTGAGAACATCCTTTTTTGGAGTCGGTTGAAAAATAAAAGCTTGTTCTCAGCATCATATGCATTTTCTTCATTACCCTCTAAATTTATTGATAGACGAAATTAGTTCTATTAGCTATCCGTGACATGGAGTTGCATTTAGTTTTCTGGCCGGACTATAAGTACATTTTATATACAGTCGCGTTGGTGATTAATGTTCGTCTACTTGCAATATATACGTGCAACTAAAGTCGTATGCGTTATTAAATCCAACGGCATTGAGACAGCTCGTGGACTGGTAATGTTATGGATTTATGGCTAACAGTGCATACTGCCATATCGTCTTATATTGAACTATGAGTGTTCGAGATCTTTGAGAACTATGAGTGCGTATAATGTCAGGATCCAGATCTTTATGCTGATCCAACAATGAGGCAACTGCGTGTACTGCATTTTAAATACCTCTTTTAATCGACATAACTTTATTAGACTTTTAAATAGATGTGTAAAGGTAAGTATTAAAAAGGTGAACCGTATTTTTTTTTTCATATAGTGCGTACGTTGATTGTTAATCAGAACACTGCACGATCACGCGTGTAAGGGAATAAATATGGAGTAATAAATATATGGATATTACCTATTGTAATCTCGAAGAAAATCTATTGTTTGCTCGATAGCCGCCATGACAGTCGGCGACGGCTCTATTCAATGAGATAGAATATTGTGTGGAAACGATAAAGAAATAAATTGCAACCCAAACTATATTAAAAGAACTATAGTACCAACGAGTTACGTCAAGTATCACATTAATCTTCCAATAGTTCGCACACATATAAACGAAATATAAAAAAAACCATCGATCAAGACTCCTTACCAATCCAGTGCATATCCCTCAGTATGCACTTCGAAAAAATTTTAATTTTATAAAACATTCAAGATCAAAATGATCGCACAACCATCAGAGTAAGATTATCAAAGACTTTAGTTAAGCTAATACATAAAAAACCCTTCGAGTGGGAGATCAAGCAATAGGCAGTACATATACAATAAAAAAAATATAAAGTCACGCAAAATATCTTGTCAATAACTAACCATGTTCTCTACGCTTATAGCACTTTCTTCCCTACAGCGGATAAGTTTAAAAAATTGGTGCAGTTTTTAACATTAAAATACTAACTTTTATTCGGTATAATTGATAAAGGCACAAATGATTTAAGAGAGACCGTAGGTTTAGCTATCCGTGAGTAATATTTCGCTTATTTGACTCACTATTTATACTGAAAAACATTTATTGCCACGTACTGAGCTTGAAATCGAATGTCTCTTTATTTCGCGTCAGCGAAACATTACCCGATTGTTCCACTGAGAATGTTCTGGAGGCGTCACCAAAAGCACTGAACGGCGCTCGCCATGTTTCCATTAAAATTAACGTCTCGTAAATCCGAAAGCATTACGTCACTGACACAAACATAAGGGCGGTTTTATTGTCGTCACTCGTAAATCCAAATGCTGTCAATAAAAGATTCATCGTTAACAGCGCTCCCTTAGTAACGGAGTTCAAGGTTTGTTATAGAGCGTACTACCACACCACCACTACATCAGGTTTGATAGACCACAGATCCTTGCAAAAGAACACCGATTCCTCCCGAGGATGATTCGTCGAGGCTATTGAAATTAAAAAACACCCTAATTTCAATAGAGAAGAGGGTTGGGTACTACCATCAGCATGGGATCCTATCATCAATAAAATTAAATCTAAGCCCAAAAGAACCACTACTGCAAGACAAGATACAATTAGCTCCCTCTGCATAGATCGGACACAAAATCAATAATACAAAAACTGACGGTAGCCCGGGTTAACTTTGACAATCAGACGTCTAACACCTCAGTCTGTCCCGTGACCATGAACGCTGTAAAGGGTTCGAAACGTCGGGAATAAAATTAAAAATAAACGCGATAAATCCGTAAAATTAGTTTCATTTACGATGAGCGGTTGCTTCATTACGGATGATTTCTGCGGCTGGGTGCGTGCTGCCCGGCGTCAGCTCTTTTATCCGTGTCCCTTAAATCCGTGGAGTAGGGTGGTTTCTAAGGTTCTCGCTTCCTGAGTGATCAAAATACACGTGCCTATGACTTCACGTGTCGAGTAAAACATGCATTTCATGCAGTATATACATAACACGTGCGTTTCGCTAATCCGAACTGAAGCCACGTGGCGTAATACGAACATCTACGTCGTGTATTTTCGAGACATCACTGAGTTGATTAGCTTCGTTCATAAATTTGATATTGATTTGAGATAATACTAATAATCAGAGGGAAATTTAAATTAACTCATAGTTCTGTACAACTGAGACTTTTTTATTTAACAACTTTTTATTTCTCTCATCGAAATTTATATTTAAATAACTTCCATGTACGTATGTAAATAACAAATGTTACTTTTATTACCATATATATTTTTTATTATGATTAGGCACAATTAAAATAATACGTTTTCAAAATATAGTGCGTTGCGAAATACTAAAGATTAACATATTAATACAATGCAATTTAAAATAAATCAATGATTTTTATAATGCTTTGTTGTTAGAAACAACGACAGCGTTGGGTTTATAAAACGTGACGCACTGACGTCAACAATGCTTATCGTTCTCATTGTGTTGCAGCTGTTTCATGCAATAATTTAAATTATGTATCAAATTAGGACCAAATTATACCAGAATGTACAGGAATTAAACATGTCAAAAATCTAAAAGTTCATTAAAATTACTATTCAAATTTTGTACCTTCTCCGTATTTTTTTTATGTGAGAAAGTGGTAAACGAGCTGGCGGTTCACCGTGTAAAGTGGCAACTGCCGCCCATTGACATTTGCAACACCCGTAGAGTTGCAGATGTGTTGCCATAAAAAGTGGGCTCCGGCTACCTCACTCACCGGACGAAACGCAGAACAATAAATATATGCAGAAGTATAAATTTTCCACTTCACGCCAATCTTAAGTGATGAAGTCGTGGTACTTACCTGGACCAACCTGCCCATTCGTGCAACAGCCAAAGCTATTGCGTGAGTCTACCACAGTTAAATATAATATATATATATAGCTAACGACCTGTCCCGTCTTCGCGTGGGTGCAATGTATTATACATATAAACCTTCCTCTTGAATCACTACATCTATAAAAAAACCCGCATCAAGATCTGTTGCGTAGTTTTAAAGATCTAAGGATACATAGCGA